AACAAAGGACGCCCAGGATCGCGTCGAGCTTCATCATGCTTATCCATCTCCATTTCCTTATTGCTCTCCCTCTCCCTATTTATTTCCTCTTTTCCCTCTTCTCCCATTTTTTTGTTTTTCTTCTTTTTTTTTTCTTTCGCTTCGACATCCTCGTTCTCATGTTTGTCGTGATCTTTAAGAATGGCTGCAGCTATTTGCTCTCTAGATGAGTTAACAATGATATCATAGAGTTGATTCTGTGCCCATTCCTCATCTGTTAAGCTAGATGAGGGACCTGGGAATTGCTGAAGGACAATACCTTGTTCCCTAAGTCGATCCAAAACAGTTTGTTGCACCATATCATTCACTACATCTCCTGCAATCTGTGAGGCTATTACTTTACTTTCTTCAGTAATAGAGTATTGTATTTTATCACTTTGCTCATGCAAAACATTAAAACCTTCTTGTAACATACGAAATAGTTCATTTATTTCACTCTGTATAGTATGATGATCATTTCTGAGTTTCATCATTTCATCTTTTACAACAAAAAAACCATGGAAATGCCGGCCACCTCAACGAGGTGCCGAGGTCCAGTACTTCGTATTCTCAGAGGAAGCCAAGAGCCAGCGACGTTTTTCTTTTGGAAGACCCGTTGGCCCTTAGGCTACGGCGTTATACAGCACCGGGACCAGCCATCTCGTGGTGAGGCAAAAATATATCCAAGAAGGTCCTGGGGCACGTGTTGACGTGCTATCAGCAGTATCACCCGCACCAGGTTGCTGCTGAGTGGTGATGTAGAGGAAAATCCCGACCCTTCACTGCGAAGAATGCAGTGGAACTCAGCTGGACTTACCCAGGGCAAGAGGCTTGCTCTCCACAAAACCCTTGTTGAGGAGAATGTAACTTTCTGCCTTCTAAGCGAGGCGAAACTATCTTGTGCGGAAGTGTCGAGTTTCACAATCGCTGGTTACCAACATCATGGAGTGTCCCGCCCCTCTAAAGGAGGTGGCGTTTTGATTTACCGCACTATGCACTAAACGAAGCAACGGAACCTGCCACCTGCACTGAATGTGGGACACAATGCTCATGCAGGAACACCGCAGTAGTACATATGGTCAACAAACACATGGGTTCAAGAGAGCCGATGCGCTCTGGAAGATCAAATTCCCCCATGAGCCACCTCCGCCGGACATCCCGCCAGAACCTCCGCCACCCCCACAACATTACCCCACCCCACTTCATCTAAAGCAAAACCTCACCCGTTTGCCCGCAGTATCTGTGAACGAACATTTCCGCTTCAAAATGGATTAACGCGCCACCTTAGATACACACGCACAATGTCACATACCCTGTCCCAGAGAGAAAACGCCCGCGAGCCAACGAACCGATACCAGAGGAATCAGCATTTCCCTGTGACAAATGTGATATGATAGCGCGCTCTAAAACAGGCTTCAAATCCCATATTAGAGCACGGCATCCTGAGAACCCGGAAAAAAAAGTTTTTTTTTTTTTTTTTTTTTTTTTTTTTCAACACCACTCGTCAGTAATTAAAGTGCTGTGGGGTGGTAGGCTGAGAGCCGTACCATTGGAGAAAAGCAGCCGGTATTGCGGAAAGAATGCTTGTAGGGGGATATCAAAAGAAAACAAAAAAAACAAATATTCATAGTGAATGGCGAGGGTTCCGCCTCGCAAAAGCTTTTTTTAAGCCACCGGGGCCACTTCAACAGAAACTTCTGCTGTGTGCAAAAAAAACCTTCTTCTTCAGAAGCTGGTGTGCCCTTTACCAAAAAAGGAGAGCTGATTGACGAAATGAAAGGAAGGGGTGAAATCAAAAAAAAAAAATAATAATGATACCACAAGTGAAGGTAGGGATATTGAACTACAAGAACAACCAACGACTGCCATCTTCATTCCTGAGAAACCAATGGGAACAGCACATGGAAAATAAAGAACAACATCGAAAAGAAGGTAAAAAAAAAAAAAAAAAAACACTGTAAACTAGTTATCGCCAAGTGCGGACATCAGTCTCCCTTCCCTACCCCCTGATGGTCTGGCAAACCTTTGTCGGATCACGCAGCTTTTTTTTTTTCGTCGTTACTGATTTTTTTTTTTTTCAAATTCAAGCAAAAGGGTCAAATTCGGCGACAAAACCCTGGGATTCCCCACCTTGTTTAGTGATGGGTTGTGTAGACGGCAATGCCGAAGTGAAGAAGTCATGGGTTTTGTTTTCCTCGGACGCACGCTCTTCAATAACCACACGGGGTTCTTTTTTTCCAGTAGTCTCTTTGTTTGTCATAAAATAAAGTAAGGGATCCAGCAGAAATTCTTTCCCTGATTCCGATGCTAAATGGGGTTTGCTGTACGTGATAGGTGCTGTAATGCTGTTAGAGATATCTGTATGTTCCCCCAGAAAAAAAGAACTGGAAGGTGTATTCCAAGAAGATGATCCTCCAACACCAACTTTTTGAGTGGGGACAGCGCTTCTATCATTTTCTTTTTTAACAACTGTAGAAAGCCTATCACGACTTTTATCTAATGTATTTTCATCCGATTGCATTTGTGGGGTCATCATCTGCGAAGAGGGAGAGTCTTTGATTGGGGTACCACTGCTGGCGTTCATTGCATCATTTAAATCATTTCCACACACTTCTTCTGAAGAAGATAAATCGCAATTAGGGTATTTCTGGAGAGGAGCTGGAGAGGACAAGGATGATGCCATGTTTAATGAGAGCGAAACTTCTTTTGCATTGGTATCAACAGTCTTTACCTCAGGAAGTTCAGAAGAAGTGGTAATACTTTTCATCTCCTTGTTTTTGTTCTCCACTTGAAAAGAATCATTAGTTCCAATATGAATGGCATCCAACGCATCACTTATGCGTTTGTACTCATCATTTGAGAGAGCAGCAACGCTTTTACTATGGTCAACAGAAACGACTCGTAAAAGTTCAACTTGTGCGTCTACAACTTCAGCATATGCTTGACACACATACTGGAGAGGTTCCAAGCGATCCCTTGCCCAGGTTTCCTCAAGAGTAAAGATGGACTCCAATTTCTGCGTTGCAGAGAGTGCTACTACCTCTGCTTCTCTCTTTTCTCGGTCATTCGTCACCTCTCTTTGTTTTAGAGATACTATTGATCCTTGTAACCGTTCAACCTCTGCCTCAAGTTCGTGCTTTTGTTCACTAAGTAAAGAAAGTTTTTCTCTCATTTCTAAGAGACTGTTTGTAATAACCTCAACTTCTTTTGCAGAATCCACGGCGCGTTTAGTGGCATTTTCCACAATCGTAGTCATGTCAATTCGACTCCAGAGTAATATTCGAATAATTTCTTCTCCCTCTTCACGAATAAAAGCAATTCTTTCATTTTCTTCCGCTAACGCAATTAATTCCCAGAGCGATTGCTTTTTACCCTTAAATGAAGAAGAGTCATTATTCAAATGGCCTATTTGACCACTTTCTAATACAACACTTTCTTCTTTTTCATCAGAGTCATTTTCATTACTACAAAGTAATAGTTGATTTACTGAAGGAGTACCTGGCGGTGTAGAAGTCGCATCCAAGAGTTTTTGCAATAGTTTTTCTTCTTCATTCACATCATCATTACTCATATGATTTATCGGTTCCTCCAAGTCACCATTTGCGTGAGCTCTTATACCCTCTTCTTCTCCTATAGTTTGCTGCTCCCCTGTTTCAGCCAATGATAAGGTTCCAAAATATTTTGTTCTAACATCCTCCTCCTCATGTAATTCAATTACCATTGGTGAAGTTGAAGCATTCACCATGCGGTGTTGTCCCTCAGACGTTTTTGCTTTTTTTTTCGGGGACTCATTGGAAATTCCTGCAAGCCTTTTTTTTAGCCGTTGAATCTCCCGACGATTCTCCTCAAGTTTTAAATTCATTTCAGTAAAAAGTTCTGCACGATTACGTTCTATCTCATCAAAGCTTCTTTGTCGATCAGCCTCATATGCCTGCATTTCCTCAATACGTTTTCGATACATCTCAAGACGTTCCGACAACATTTTCTCTTGCTTAGATGGATACCAAAGACGAATCTCTGGTAAAGAATCCAAGTCTAATGTAGTTCTACTTGATGATACAGGCCCTCGTCGTGATGGTGAACTCCCTTCAGCTAAGGAACTTGTACTGTAGTTCCTAATAGGACGTTTAGGCATTAATTTACCTCCTTCTCCTCCCTTGTATTCAATTGGTACTACATACTGAGCAAGTATCCGTGTTGGCGGAGATTCATCATCTCGATGAGATGAAAAAGCCGTAGATATTTGAGGAATAGGTACTGATGATGTCATAGATGTTGCAACTCTTTCCCCTCTCCAACGTTCTGCATCTACAAGATCTAACTCGAGATGAGAAAGTTCTTCACGGAGTTCTTGAAGTTCTTTCATGAGGTTATGGTTTTCATGTTTCTGCTGATACAGCATCTGCTGTAAAGTGTCCCTTTCACTTTCAAGAGTACTAATGCGAGTTTGGAATAAGACAACATCTATATGATCTGAGGCATTGACTCCCTCACCAGATTTATTGTGATTCTCGATGGTCCGTAAACGTTCTTCTTCATCGTGATGGGAAACAATAGCCGTATAAAATGTATTCACCTCCATTAGTTCACGTACCTTCATTTCAAGTTTAGCCATCTCTTCATTTTGCCGTGCTATAATTGCTGATGAACTAGAGACATTATCATTAACTGCTTCTCCAATTGTAGTCCCGGGAATGGGTAATCCACTACTACTTGTAATCTTTGGTGATGACTGGGATGCCTTGAGAGAAGCTGTTACCTTTTTCTTGGGGTGAGTGGATGTAGTCGTCATGGGGATAACACGTGCCACTTTAACATCATCAGAGCCTACTGCCGTTTTCATATCTCCCGAACTTAATTCTTCTAGTTGTTTAATTAAGACACTGATAGTTTCTTCATCCTCTGCCGACTTCTCTGATAGTAGTTCACTTTGACGTTTGAGTGCCTTCACCTCATTCTCTTTCTCTTGTAAATCTTTTTGTAGCTGAGTCACTTGATCTTCAAGTTCCTTGATCCGTGCGGACCCTGCTTGACGTTGCCGTAACTGCTGGCGTAGTTGTTTTACAATCTCGATGAGTTCCTCGCGACTCGCTTCGCTGGCGTTAATGCGATACATCCTTATTGCTACTTTTACTTTCGATTGGGTAATTTAAATACAATTCCCTTTTCCGCCTCAACGGACGGAGTACACTGATTTATCCTTTCCTTTGGTCCTTTCTGTTGCAGAGATAGCGAATATGGAGAGAAAAAACTAATCCCGTTATTATTATTATTATTATTATTATTATTATTATTATTATTTTAAGGGAGTTCAGTGCACACCAAAGTGTCAAGTGACCACGGTAAACAAATGGACTACAAAGAAGAAAGAATCCCATAAAAAGCAAAAAACAACAAAAAAAAAAAAAAACAACGACAACAACATCATCATAAATATTTATTATTTTTCCTTTTTTCTCTTCCCTGAACGCTCACGATGGTTTTGTCCCAACTCTCTTAAAGATGCGAAGCATCAAGAAAGAAGGCACCAAAACGCAATGGCAAAATAGAAACAAAGAAAGGTAAGATATCAAAAGAGTCATTTGCTGTAGAAGAAAGACACTACCCCATTCTTTCCCAATCCACTATTATTTCTAGCTCTCCAATTCTCTGAGAGCAGCATCATCGTTTTCCCTCCCTTCCCCCACCACTTCTAATCCTCTTACTAGGATAGAGACGATGACCCATTTTTTTCTTTTTTTTTTATCTGCCTTCATAACAGACTCGTTATGCTTCCATCACTGGATACGTGGACCCATAGAGAATGCCACACATACCACAGGCCCAATCCGTGTCCGGATCACCGTCGCATGCGCTTCCATCGTGAGCGTTGACATCCCAACCACACTCAACTTTTTCTGTGCGGAGCAACCGAATATACCCATTCTCACCCCAATCTGGAGACCATGAGTTACGTACGATCCAGTAATCCACATTTAGCTTATCGTCATGACCGTACCCAACAAGTTGAACTGCATGGTTTATTGTTATATTCTGACTGTAATCACAACCATTAAAAACGCCTCCACCGTAGGTGGCCCAATTCGATGCATCAACGCTTACAGAGATTGGTCCTTTATGCACCAGTGCCTCAAGGAGGGCGTCTTGATCGTTTTGAGGAAGTGACACATAGTTTTTGACTTGTACCACCTTTGATGTATGATTGTTACATGTACCTGTTTGCCCATAGTACCCAGTGTAAGGATTTGCCCATTCTTGAGAAAGACCACCAATATCGTGAACGTACTGGTACGCAAGGGATTCCACTCCACCTGCACAACCTCCTGTGCCACCACAATGTCTGGGGTTAGGTGTACAGGCACTCACCTGCTGTTGACTCAACACAAAGAGTTTTCCACTTTGGAGGGCATAGTGTGTTTCCATCGATTCCGTTGCTGAGTGTGCCCAACAACTGCCACAACCGCCTTGATCTTTCACAGCCGTTAAAACAGCTGGAAAGGTGGTACGATAATCCAAGGCTTTGGGGGTGGGTTGACCGCTTTTTCGGTATTTTTTTTGAAGATTTTTCCGGGAGACGTGACGCATCATGCGCGGTTTGGCGCCATTGATACGCGTGAACTCCTCTGGTGTCCAGTCTGACATATGGTTAATACCCATCACATACAACTTCTTGGGATTTGCGTTGTGGGCACGCACCTTTGCCAGTGTCTGCTCAAAGATGATTTTGCGACGCATGTATTCAACAACATCATATTTCTTACCAAAATCGTGCAGAAAACGGTCGAAAGAGTAGCCTTCCAGTTCTTCTGGCTTGGGAGGTCCGGTACGCACAGTGAGTCTTGCAGATACGATCAGTGCTGTGAAAAGAACGAGCACAACGAATAACTGTACCCTGGCCATTAGCGTGCAGTACTTTTATTCTGTTATCTTTTGTACTTTTGGATATTGCGTAAAATGTGTTTTTTTTTTTTTTTTTCGTTCTTGTTTTCTTTAGTTCACCAATAGTTCTTAAAGCAGATGAAAATCAAGAATAAAGAAAATAGTAGAGATGTATGGAAAAACAACAACAACAAAAAAAAAATCCTTCCCACCAGAGTTTACATATTTCGACTTTCTTTCCTTTTGGTAGTTTCCATTGTAACAAGGCATTTGAAAACTAGAAATAACACTGTACACATTCTTTGCAATGCTCCGGCAGAAAAAAGAGGAGCAATACAAAAAGGTTGTTTTCTACTATTGTAAGACAATCATCATTTTATTTCAAACAATATTTTGAAAAATAAAAAAATTTAAGATTATCTGAATTCAGAAAATTCTGTACAACTCTATGCGTAAGTCTGCAGGAGCGCAAGACTTGAGAGGAGGTGGTCTAACTGCAAACGAAATTCATGTATTTGATGATTTTTTTGTTCAATCATCATTTCAGCCTTTTGTTTCATCAGAGAAAGTTCAAAATCAGCTACACGCTTAACTTCGGCTATTTCATGGGCGGCTTCACGTTCTTTTTGTTCTTGACGCCGTTCAAGGTAAGCCAATCGTTCAGCGACACTTTGTAAAAATGTTTGATTATGTTTCGAATCATTAGATGAAATTTGGAAAATTTTTTCACAAACTTTCGATGCTTCTTCCGCTGATCGGTTTTGCTCTACGATAGAATGTAATTCTCGTTGATGATGTTCTTGAATACGTGCAATCTCGTCATTGTGTTCCTGTCGTATGCGTTGAATTTGTAACTGATATTCCTGTCTTGCCATTAATAAACGTTCATCCCATCGAGCATGGGCGTCACGAAGAGATTCCTGACTCTCCATGAGCAAGCGTTTGTATATTGTTTGTTCTGCAGTAAGTGTGTTTATCTGTGCCTGCATACTTGAGATGAGATGGGATGAACTAACACCAATCCCATCATCTTGTGGTGACTGTGATTGTAAGTGTAATGGTGATGACGATGAAGGTATGATAGGAGTATTTTTTGCAGTTTCATGGGTTACTCGATATAATTCATTTCGAAGAGCTTCATTCTCCTCTTGAAGCTGTGAAATAGTCTCATCTGGACGGTTTATTACCCCAATACTTGTCGCTGTTGCAGGTTTCTTTACTTCTCCCAATGGAGATGCTGATGATGATGATGATTCAATTTTTTTTTCACGCACATAATCATTATCACAACTTGTAACCAAATCAGCAGACACTGGTGGATTTTTTTCCTTCTCTTTTTCACGTAATGCTTGCCGTGCTTCAGAGAGTTGCTTTTCAAGTTCACGGACCCGTCGTGTCTGTGCGTGTAACAATCGAAGTTTAAGCTCCTCCTCGAGTTTTTCAATCCTTTCCTGATATTGAATTCTCATACGGTCTGTCTCAACTCTCAAACGGGTGACTGCAGCCTCTGCGCATCGATCTTTCTCTGCGAGAGCATTTTCTAATTCCTTGATTTTGAGATTAAGTTGTTTAAACAACTTGGAGTCCTGCACAGATGGTTGACAACTTCGAATAAGTTGTGCAATACTGTTCGGGTACTTGCTGTTAAGTGCTTCCTCGAGTTCTACTATACGTTTGGTGAGGTTACGAACATGTGTATCCTTCTTACTTACTGGCATTTTTTTTCCCTCACCATCTAAAGCCCCAACCTCGTGTAATCGCGCACGCAAACGACGAATGATATCCTGTTGCTCTTTAAGTAATTCTTCCTGCGAATGATTAAACTCTTGATGTTCTACATACCAAGCAATCTTTCGAGCCATATCTTTTACAGTTTCATTATGATCGGTTTCCTTACGCTTTAAATCAACGCGGAGATTGCGAAGCTCTAGCTCCATTTCCTCAAACTTCTTGGCATCAAGACTTGCCAAACGTTTCTCAATATCCTTCTTTTCACGTCGGATTAGTTCTAACTCCAACTGTAACTCTCTCACTACTGTGCGTTGACGCTCTAACTCTATGCTCACTTCGTCCTGACTTACTTGCTGCTCTCCTTGCCATGACATCATGGGGACTGATGATGCTTGCCGGACTGAACCATGGTTGGGACTTTGACCACTTGCCAATATACTGTATTTGGCTTCGACATTCACTGCTTTCTTTTCCATCTCATTCAACTTCGCACGCAGCGCACGTCTCTCTTCGTGAAGGTTAACATTGTCTTTTTCCAACGCCTTCACCAGACTTTCTTGCATGAGCATCTCTCGCCGCACCTCTTCAAGTTCTTCTTTCGTGACAAGTTCCCCAGAGTATACGGCTCTCCACGCACCACTGTGCTCTTCCTGTTTCTTGGGGAATCTTTCATTCTCACTCACCTGCGACAATAATTCATCACGACTCGCCTCTACCGTGCAGATCTCCACTACCTTTTCGGTCCCCATTACAGTACTTTCAACATCTTCTTCTTCTTCTTGCTGAGCTCTAGAAAGTTGATAAGATTTCTCTGACTGCATTGCAACATCCTTCCCTTGGTGATTACTACTACTATTTGTGGTTCCATCATCAAGGCATTTATCATCTATATCCGAATCCTTCCGAGTCTTGAGTAGAGTCATGAGTTCATCAGAAGTTCTACCCTCTAACGATGCCGTAAACTGCACCTTCGCCTTATTCTCGTCCCTTGCCAAGTACTGCCGTACATCTTCCAAGGTATCTTCCTCCATTACATCAATGGAAAAGATACCACTGGGATAGGTACAAAAAAAAAAAAAAAAAAAAAAAAAAAAAAAAAAAAAAAAAAAAAA